AGCAGCAGTTCAAGGCAAACTGGCTTTCTGCGGCGAAGAAGGTGGACAAGGTGGCTGTACAAAATTTGATGGCAGGGGTCAAGCGTAAGGCCCGGCAATTCGGATTTGGAAAAGCGGAAGCCTAACTGAATATTTTTCCTGAATTTTATACTAATTGAACTTGAAAAAGAAATTTAATTTGATTTTTTAAATAAACGATTTCACCGATTTACACGCGTTTTCCCTTGACCAAATTTTGACCGTATCACCCTTTACTTAATTGTTTATTAGAAATTCAACATTTAACTCGCGAGAATTCGTTTAAAATCTCTTCAGATTGTTTTTATTTTCTTGGAGCCTTCCACGGAAATCTCTTTGTATGCCATTTAAAATTAAGATACGTATTCGCCCAATATTTCCTTGGATTTAACATCTGAATTCTTCTCAGAATTCCCTTAAGAGGATCTGGACCTTGAAACTCCCCTTAATAACTCTCTCGGAAATATCTTAAGATTCTCTTAGAGCACTACTTATAGTTTCCCTGAAGTTCTATAAACTTCTCTGAACCTTTAATAATCTAAAGGTCTTTGGAATAATTCTTGTTCGACTTGCTATCTTGCGAGAATATCTTAAAGACGTGACTGGAATTATTGGACAGTTTGAGAAGAATAATACCTGATCAACCAGATGTGTTCAAAACCATGGACCCACGCGATTTTTTTTTTTTGGTTCACCTAGCTTTTTTTTTTAGTGTACCTGGTGCACCCGGTACTAGAGCAAAAGACAGCAATTTGTACCAGAACAGGTGTCAAAAGTGACACAGACAGCACAACTGCCAGCAAAAGCGCGGTACCCGCTGCCGTGGCAGTCAGATTGAGTTGTGTCATATCCCTTAGCACGTTTCTTTTTGTTTCGCCATTTTGAGATTTGAACTCGTGACTTTGGCGTGAGAGGCATGGATGCTAACAAAAAAAAAAGCGGAACTAGTTAAAATAGTTAATTATCTAATCTAATAGTTCATTAGCTCCAGGGCCCCTGAACATCATATATTTGGATTGTCCCCAGGAGGATTGTCCACAGGAGGATTGTTCGAAGAACGATTGTACCCAGGAAGATTGTTCGAATAAGGATTGTCCCGCAGGAAGATTGTTCAAAGGAGGATTGTCCACAGAAAGTTTGCTCGGGAGAAGGTTGTTCGAAGGATTGTTCGGAGGAGGATTGTCCGCAAGAAGATTGTTCGGGAGAAGATTGTACGAAGGAGAATTGTCCGCAGGAAGATTGTTCGAAGGAGGATTGTTCGAAGGAGGATTGTTCGAAGGAGGATTATCAGCAGGATTGTCCGCAGGAATATTGTCCGCAACCGACGAGTCGAGGAGAAAGATTATCCGGAGGAAGAGGATTGTCCGCGGGAGGATTGTTCGAAAGAGGATTGTTCGAAGAAGGATTGTCCGCAGGAGAATTGTCCGCAGGAGAATTGTCCGCAGGAAGATTGTCGACAGGAAGATTGTTTGGAGGAGGATTGTCCGCAAGAGGATTGTTCGAAGGAGGATTGTCCGCAGGAAGATTGTTCAGAAGAAGATTGTCCACAGGACGATTGTCCGCAGGAAGATTGTTCGAAAGAGGGTTGTCCGCAGAAGGATTGCTCGAAAGAGAATTGTCCGCACGAAGATTATCTGGAGGAAGAGGAATTGCCCGCAGGAAGATTGATCAGAGGAAGATTGTCCACTGGACGATTGTCCGCAGGAAGATAGTTCCAGGAAAGATCTTCAGAGACAATCAATGACGTTCAAGGAAAACGTTGGGGAACGACACTCATCCTTATGCATGTTGCTTCAAAAAAGATATGGCAACACTGTGACGGCATGCGAGCGGAATTGAAAGAATTTTCGGAATAGACAGAAGGATCAACAGGGATATTCAGGATATACTGAAAAATAGACAAAAAATCGAATAAGGATGTCTGGAGGAAAAAAGTTCTGACTGATGTTCTGGATATATAAGCAGAATTTTATGGATAAATTTGATGGGGATACAGGATGCATCCGAATGTATCGTTCCCTCTGGAACATATAAAGAGCTTCAGAGTTCCGGATAATCTTCTTCCTCCACGTACTCCTTGACTCGTCGGTAGCAGACAATTCTCCTTCAAACAATCCTCATGCGGACAATCCTCCTTTGAACAATCTTCCCGCGGACAATCATCTGACTGGCGGGATCTGGTCCATTCGGTCCTCGCTACACAAGGATCGTACATGGGTCCGCCTTGCATGATTTCTAGTTGGACCCCCAACAATTAAGTGATAAAACTGATTCCATTTTGATCAACATCAACAATGACATTAATCCTAGCTCTGAAGTTCAGGTTAGGAAAAAAAGTTAGGTTAAAACAAAACGTCAGCTATTGTTGGTAAACCAACCGACCCCCATGCACTCAAAAATTTAACTACCCACAAATTTAAAAAACCTACTACTGCGTGCACTTCCATTCTATTACCGAGAACCATGATTTTTCGATAAATTCCTTCCACGCTATTGGTCCTGACCTTTGGGTCCATGTTCAAAACTATCCAAAGGTCTTAATGGACATCTTTGATTAGCTGCAGGATTTGAGAATAATTTCTGATGAAGCTGATATCTGGAGAGAATATTCAGGAGGCTGGTTTAAATTTTTGGACAGTTGGAGATCTTTAGTATAATACCTGATCAACCTGAAGTCTTGTAATAATATCCAAAGAACTTAATGAAGATCTTTAATCAAGTGATATTCTTTGGAATAATTCCCGATTACTCTGATATCATGAGAGAATATTCGGGAGACATGATATGAATTGTTGGACAGTTGGAGATCTTTGAAAATAGCAAAAGGACTTTATGAATATATTTGGTCAACTGAGGGTCTTTAACATAATTTTTGATCAAATTGCTATCTTGAGAGAATATCTCAGTAACTTCTAAGTTTTCCATAAAAACAATTAATACTGTCTGAAAAGTTGTTAACCACAATCAAAAAGTAACCAAAGGACTTTGATCAACTGAAGAATTTGGAATGATTTATGATGAGCCTGATATCTTGAGAGAATAACCGGTAGACATAATTTGTAATGATGGAATGTTGGAGATCTTCCGGACAATACATGATCAAACTGAAGCCTTGAGAAACTATCCACAGGATTTTATTGAGCTCTTTGAACACCCGAAGTCTTGAAAGAATATTTAAAGGACTTCATGGAGATCTACCGAAGTTCATTGAAATATTTTCTGATAAATCTGATATCTTAAAAAAAAATATCTGAGAAACGTGACTTGAATTGTTGGACAGTTGAAGAGCTTCAGAACAATACTTGATTAGCCTAAAGCATTGAAAACAATATCCAAAGGACTTTATGGAGATTTTTGATCTCTTGTGGTTGTGTTTAGATGAGCGTGCTTGCGTTCTCCGCGAAGTTTTGAAAGTTCCTGGATGTTTGCATCATTAACTGACATAATCCCAAGCCATCAAAACTTTCTCAAAGTACCAAAGCTGCAAATTGCGTGTCGATTCATGGTTGACATGGCTGGTTATCAACAATGCAATGATCAATCGATATCATTCAGCCACAATTCGAAAGGTGTCGCTATCTACTTTCATATGCATCACGTAGAAACCTGATTGGACCTGTGGTTGGCCATCCGGAACGGAAAAACCCGCAAAACGCGTAACGTTACAGGGTTACAATAAACAACAAGAAAAAGATGGGTTTGGTACTTACCAAGCATACAACTTCCAAAGACCAAAAAGTCCTTCAACGCCCGTCTCGGCACTCCGTTGCTACCAATCTTTGCGGTGGTAAAACAGAAGTGCGAAAATATAGCCGAATCCGTGCAAATGCGCCGGAAAATGTCATTTTTCATCAACGACTTACTGCTTGGTTTGATCCGTCGAAGGAAGTTGATCTGTAAAAAAACGGGTTCATACTAGATTTTTCATTGAGAAATTCGTGTTTGTATTGCTAAAGTCTTACATATTTCTGCCTGGTCTTGACATCATGGTTCACCGCATATTCCAGGTCCTCCAGCGTATCCGGATTGTCGATGGGGAATGTAAAATCGGTGACCAGTGCACGATTACTCTCTTCGTCGAATCCAACGCTGTAGGAAACGGAAAAGAAATGCTCGGGAGAGGACGACGATCGCGCTGTATCTTGAGTCGATAGGTCTAAGAAACGAAAAATGTTTTTAGGAGATTAGAACCAATGCATCATACTCGCTTTCAAATCCGGAATATATGAGGCCCGATTTTTTTTCGAGACAAGAAAAATTTATTCAAATGAACAAAACTTCAAGCAAAATCAAACATCGATGTGCAAGCAAGTTTTTTGCGCCGATGGCATTCGTTCGAGTAGCGCCGATTGTTCATCTTGTGTATCGCCTTCCGCAGCATGGATTTGAGCTCCTCCCAATTGACACCATGCGTATGCCACGCCTCTGTAACAGAAACTTAGAATTATTATCATTCCAAAAGTAAAATCTAGTACCGCAGCCCGGCATCATACCTAGCATACAAGTAGTAAAAATATCATAGTTTTTCATCGGTCGTTTCGGATACCGAGGACTATCCAACCCGTTCCAATTGTACCGCCGCATGGCTTCATCGGCGAAAAACATCCGGAAACACTGCACTATGGACACGCTTTGGGGCTTTTTAGTTGCTAGGTAGCCTATCTGGAAGGATTCATAAAATTATTCACAACTACCCATACCGTCGTTCGGGGTCGCAGCAGTGCTCACATATTGATGTCGAACGATGGCATTGCTCTTCGCAAGAAACTCTAGCCTTTCGACATCGTCCTCTCGCCGGATGGGGAATTGGAAACCGGGTACACACGTGACCAGATTGTGATGTAAATCTTGCCGAATCGAGACCTTGGGAACATAATTTAACACTTGAAAGAGAAGGGAAAATCAAATGTCAGTTTTATCAAACAGAGCACAACACTGTAGTACTAGAACACGCAACGTCGATTAACAAAAGTACGCCGAATGCAGGTAATATTTTATTAATTTTTCAATAGCAGCACTATTTCGTTCGATCCGGCGGTGGACGTTAGCTTAGTCTTACGGCGCAGCTTTGAGAGCTGCACATTTCGACGGTTGTTGATTTTCTCCACTGTCCGTTTCAGCTTAACCTGCAGCACTTCTGGAGTTATGCCTTGGTCGCACCAAGCCTCTGTAAATCATTCGTTCATTAGTCTTGGTACCTACTAGGTTGGAATGATGTTTCGAAAGTTACCCAACATACACTCGGTGAAAATACTGTAGCTGCGCATAGCTTTCTTCGGAAACCGGTGGTTCGAAAATCCGTTCCAATTGTAGTTGACCATGGCAGTGTCGGCAAAGAACACACAAAAACTCTCCACCAGATCCATTTTCGGTGACTTCTTCGCTGTTAGATAACGGATCTGGAAGATAACCAAGCATTACGGATCCAATGTAGTACTATATTTTTAATCATAAGACATATACGTACAAATTGCCCACGAATCATCCTATTTTCTCTAACCGCCGTCTCCAGCAGCTCAACGTCCTCCTCGTTGACCAGAGGAAATTCGAACCCCTGCACACGCAAGGGTTTCGGGAGAGATTCTTTCGACAGCGATCCATAGCTTCGATGCAGAAGTGCCAACTGGTTCCGGAGGAACTTCGCTCTCCGTATGTCGGCAGGTGTGAGCGGTTTGCCGACAGTGTTTCGCTTGTGAGCCGATAGTTGCGACTTCAGGCGAGAAACAGCCAAATTGTAGCGCGCTGTAAGTAGACATCGTACAAATTACTCATCATTAGACATTCTGAATAACTAATTTATCAGCACCACCATATTGAACAGCAAAGACAAATTATAAAAAAATACTGCTTTATTGTAAAAAAAAATAACTAGTTAATAGACCGGATCAAATCCGGTGCATAAGTTTCATCTTCTTTTTCAACACCTGGTTGCGAGTGTAGCGCCTTCGACTAATGTGATAGATTGCTTTCTTCAACTGTTCCATGAGGATAATACTGGTAATACCGTGGGACTGCCACGCATCTGCAATATTCGCAAACGGATAAGGTTTAAAGTCAGATTAAAGTCAGCTGAGTACCACCAACCTAGCATACACAGCGTGAAGATATCGTACTTCTTCATGCCCTTTTTAGGGGTTTTAGGATATTCAGCTCGTTCTACACCGTAGTAGCTGAAATTGGTCATCGAATAGTCGGAGAAGAATTTATTGAACGACTGGACGATAGTCATCTGGATGGGTTTCGTTATGTTGAGAAGTTGCACCTTAAAAACCACGATTAGTAAGAAAAGAAGTACTAGAATTAAACCACCAATCAAACCTACATATTGTCCTCTAATTAAGCTGCTCTGTTTGACAGCTATCTCCAGCCGTTCAACGTCGTCCTCCAAGGCAAGCGGGAATGTAAAGCCCAGAACGGCCGGACCGTCCTCCAGCTGTACCGCCGGTGATGGTCCGGGAAAGTTCGTATAACTATCGGCAACCATCTGCAGCTGTGAATAGATGTCATAGTTGCTCAATTGATCCAGTGGCGGAACGACAGGTTGCTGTTGGTCCAACATCGTGTGCAGATTTCGAACTTTGACCGTTTTGTTGGCACCTGGAAACAATACCAATACGACGGGTAGAGTTTGATCAGTTAAAATACCAAAGCAGTTGTGTTTGGGTAAAACAAACAAAAGACTGGAGCATTTAGCACTTTTATTTGAAACAATATTTTACATTTTTTTCGCATATCTTCTTATTTCAACTAGCATAGATCCTACGAGAAAGCTCTGGAAATACAAACAAAAAAAGTTTATAGAATAGTTGAGTAAAAAGATGATCGAACACATAGGAAGGTATACCTCATTGCTAGGCACGCCTACCGTCTGAATCAACACATCTTTGTTGCGAAACCTGTGAAGAAATGGTAGATAGAGAAAGTTCAGTTCAATGTTTGGTATCTACTAAAAATTTAGTATGAAGTCATAATTCTACACTGAGACAAATCGACACATCCGGACTGATTTTAGAGTCGGGCGCCACTGCTTTGATAGACAATGACTTCAATCTCCGATTTCCCGTGAATAAAAGCTAATTGTCACTAGCTGCAGTATTCCACTGCCTGTTTATAGGAATTTATCAAAGTATGGTCAAAATTGTTGGCCGCAATCAACCAACCACCTGCTTGCTTACTAGGACTATCGAGAGAACAGAGAGAGGCGAGTCGATAGTGAGAATAACTCTTTGCCTGCCTAACGTCTAAACTTGCATAGATTTCATAAGTCAATTAGCTCTATAAACTTGATTTCTCGATGTTTTTCTGCACAACAAATTGAATATTTGAATCCGTCGAAAAAAAAAATTGGATAAATACATGGTTCCGGAGTTATTCCGGTTTTCGTTGAGCTCACTCTGGGTCGGGATTCGGCTTTACTGTTCTGTAATAATTATACACACAATATTTTCTCACGCAAAAGATATACTTGGGCCATTTACAGCTATACCGATGAACCATGATCGCATAGGGCATCCCGGAAAAAAAAATCCGGTGTCCCGGGGGAAGTGACAAGACAAGAACCAACTCGTCATGCGACATGTCAAACTTAATGATATTACAAAACTAGGCCGTTAATGGCCTTATTGACAGTCCACGGTCACACTAGCCCTCTCGAACATGTTCCGGTGCCCCCGGTGAATGCCATTACCGGCCAACTTTGTTTTTTTTTCGCCTAAGGAGGCCATTCCCAACTAAACAGTTCACTACCCAACACACATTGAAAGCTGAATAAGAGCTTATACGAGGAAAAATATGCTTCTTAAAGCAAAACATATATTTTTTTTTTCAGCCTTGTGAATGATCGATTTTTTACCAAAGCAGCTGCTTCAAAACATGATTTCACCCCAGATATCCTTGCTATTTTGTGCCAGAGTACCTTCGAGCTTGTTTGAGGATCAACCGTTTCCGCAAGCTCTTCTATTCGTTTTTTAACACCTTCATTTTTTAGTCGAGTAAATATCGCCGAATATTTTTTTAGCTCTATAGCATTTTCTATAGTACTTTGTCCATGTAACCTTCTAACCTAACATCTTATCCTTCCACGCTCTCTCTACCTCGTCATTCCACCATGCTTTAGGAGTATATCTACTTACTTTTCTGTTCTTGTTTACGCATTGTTTTACTTTGACCTACAATTCTCATCCAATCATCATAGAGATTAGTGACGTTTAACGCACGCACACTAGCGGGTGCACCACGGCGTGAAGTTGTTTATTATTTTCCTCTGGCTAACATAAAAAAATGTATGAAATTAGATCTGCCAAAATGAGTTTGACAGCGATTTGTTATGTATTTTCCTCGAATTTTCACTAAAACAAAAATGCACATGGAGCTCTTCTTTCAATTATATTGGAATTATTTCTAAAATTGTTTCCGAGCTGAATTTTGCGTCTTTCATAATTTAAACATAACACTGATATTATGCGATATGACAGCTTATTATATTAAATCTCGCAACACTGCCAGGTTTTCGCTCTGATGCGGATCGAGCTGACGTTTGAGACGACGAACAACCATTGTTATTCCAGTGCTTGGTGCCAGCATCGTAAGCTAACAGTTTCACCACAGACAAACAGACGTAACTCTTCATTGTGTATCTTCGTTAATGCATTTAACGGTTGTTCCGCGAACTACTCGCCGTAGCGCTGGCATCGGATCACTTTGACGTTTCTATATATTCTATAGAACTTTTATGCAATATTGTTTACGAGTTAGCGAGCAAGCTTGTTTTCCGTGAGAAGCCAGAGAGATGTCGTTACTGAGGTTATATGTTTTGAGATACTATGTTTTCAAGAACAAGTTTTTCAAAGAGTTACGTCTGTTTGTCTGTGATTTCACTACACTGTACACTGAAATCGCCTTTTCGAATGATAGCTGCAACCGGTTAAATGAAACAGCAAAAAAGGTGATCTTCCATTTAATTCCACTTAATTAATTTTGATATCCATGGAATACGTATTTCGACTACAATGTGCAGCCTTCATCAGTGTCATTCCCACTAGAACTTATCTTTTTTTTTTTACTTTGAATGATCTATATTTCTTGTATTTGTTTGGTTTACATGTATGGATTTTCAAGTGACACAGATGCGTCTTTTCAACTTTAGTTATTTTGAAATTTTAATTATCATTTACTGTTCCTAGTCCTATCAGGCCTGTTAGAGTATGACCACCTTGGTGGGATTGATTTGTTTTGAATTGGAAAAAGGAGACTACTTAAAACTATTATTTACAGCTACAACTAATCTACAACTACTATATACACTTAACCTACTATATACAAATTGCTTATCAAAGCATGTTCTGATGTATTGCATTTCTGCACAAATTTGTTCCTAGTTTCGTTAATATGAAAATCTACTTTCGGAATGTTAGCCTCTTGATGGAGGTCGGAAATGCGGGTATCGAAAGGACGATCAAGGATCATCCTCAATACCCTGTTCTGCGCTACCTGTATTTTGTTCCTGTGAGTTTGTGCACATGATTCCCACACCGGAGCTGCGTAGAAGATCGCAGGCGCAATGATTTGTTTGTAGACAGCCAGTTTGTTCACCCTAGAGAGACGAGATCTGCGGCAAATTAGCGGATACAAGCACCTAACTAGATTGGAACACTTAACTACTGCCCTATCTATGTGCGAGCGGAAAAGTAGCTTCTCGTCAAAGAACATACTAAGATATGTTACTTCGGTGGACCACTCAACCCTTGTGCCATCCATTATTACAGTACAAGAGGGAGCCGGTTTTAGTTTGGGAGATTGTCGATGGAGGAACATTATTGATTGGGTTTTGGAGGCATTGATTTTGATTTTCCACATGTTGGCATAATCAGCAAAGGCGTCAAGGCATCGTTGAAGTTTGTTTGTTATTTCACGAGGCCTCCTTCCCTTGACGATTATAGCGGTATCATCTGCGAACAGGAAAAACACGCCACCGTTGCCCAAGGGAGGAATGTCGGAAGTGTAGATGCTGTATAGCAAAGGGCCCAACAGACTTCCTTGCGGAACACCTGCTGGGATGGAAAAGGTGTTTGAATTGCAACCATTCAACGATACCTCAAACGACCTTTGCTGGAGGTAGTTCGGGTCATTTTTACAAGATGTGGTGGAAAGTTGAAGTTACAAAGCTTGTACACAAGTCCGTCATGCCAGACATTGTCAAACGATTTTTCAATGTCTAACAATGTCATGGCTGTGGACTTGGATACAGCTTTGTTACTTCGAATGTTATTCATCACCCGAACTAGCTGGTGATTTGTGGAATGCCCCTTCCTAAACCCAAACTGTTCAGGCAGGAGAATGTTGTTCTCCTCGACAAACTTGAGTAAACGATTGAGAATTAGTTTCTCGAACAATTTGCTCAGCGCTGAAAGGAGGCTGATTGGTCTGTAGCTGGAAGGTAGTGATGGATCCTTACCAGGTTTGCGGATTGGTATGATTTTTGCTACCTTGCAGATACTTGCAACATTTCACTATAACGACCTTTCTCCATAACGACACACCTTCGTTGTTTTTTACCCGTATTTGTCATTCTCTATTGCGACATTCTTCAATATCATGAAGGTACTATTTGCATCTCAGAGTGGTTTTATAGCCGTAGACAATATTAAATTTGAAAGTTTAATAAAAGATGTTTTTTGGTCATAGGTTTTTTCATGTTCATCAATTTAACTATCGGTATTGCTTATTCTACTTAAATTCCTACTGTATGGAACCCATCTGTAAACAATAGATATTACACATTTACCAAATTTGTCTACATTTAAACAGAATTTTGACCACCTGAACGAGATTTTCGCGTAGTGTTTAACTTACGTGTTTTTGTTAATAAACAGATGCATCAAAGTTCGTGTCAAGTAAAAATACATTGCTTTCGCTTTTAGTTCACGGTCAAAAATTAGTTCAAAAACTAGAAAAACATTAACATTACAGAATACACTGGACATAATCGAAAAATTCAAATATGGTGTTAAAAATAAAACTTCCGAAGAATTCAAAGTGCCGCACTGAGCGACTGATGAAACTGTTGACAATAAACTAACAAGTGCGCCTTCTAAGAATAAACTGTCAGATGCTTTCCAAACAATATATGCTGGTTTATTAACTACGGAAGATCTGCCAAAGGACAGTTTCGGAAAAAAAATTTGAATTAAAAAACAGGTTCTACACAGAAAAGAAAAGATCTGAATTTTAACTATCGCGTAAAATCTCCCTTCGTTTAACAGTCGGCATAAACAACGAAATCGTTTACAAGCTTGCATACAATATTTCTAATTTAAATCTTATTGCGCTCAAAATTACACGAAATATCGTCTAAATTTACGCCAAATATAGCGTTAATTTTATGTGCGCTATATCTCTCAGAAATTTACATGAATTTTTCAAACGGTGTAGGGAAACGAATGAACGGAAATTTGTTTGGGTATAATCTTAAACGATTGTATTGTATTGTTAAAAATAAATTGGAATCATCTAAAAATATACTTTGATTGCTAAGCTTGGAGTGACGTTTCTCTCTCTATGACGACAATGAAATTTCATATAACGACTATCTTTTATAACGACAGTTCTCTGTAACGACAGTCCCCTGCGATGTCGCTATAAAGAGCTTCGACTGTACCTTGTCTTTCGAGTAGTGCATTGACGCCAAATTGGACCACACCAGTCCTGGGTTATCTTTTTTGTCAGTGTGTGCCGATTGTGCCAGTCGTAGAGCAAGCTACGATTGTTTGTAAAATATGCATCCTGGCAACCCGGTATTTCTGGCATCTTGAATGTTTTGGTTTGAAATCGCAAGGATAAATCGGATGCAGTTTAGTGCTGAACGAAGCAGCCATTTTCGCCGTTTTGTACCTGAATA